GGAAAAGTCGATCAAAGGCTATGAGTACATTTAGCTTCATTTGTAGCTTTGTAACTTTTGGCCAGTTGATGGCATTAATTTAGCTTCATTTGTAACTTTGTAACTTTTGGCCAGTTGGTGGCGTTAACTAAATGAATTGGCCTGATCTCAATGCTAGACTGAATTTTGTTCCAATTTGCAAAGGTACCACCTCACTTCTGGCGTGGCATCGTTGCGTTAGACCTTCTTAACATGTTAACAGCAAATGGTATAGAGAATAAAAAATCAATTTCTTGTTTACCGTCCATTTGAATATCACTTTCACTGTGGGAAAGATCACGCAAATAAAGAAATCCATTCTTGAACAGTAATAGACTTCATTTATCTCTCTTTTTCTGTGATAGGCCAGGCACAAACTAGCGCAGCACCACGGACAGGTAATTATACACCTTTGAATTAGAACCAGATCTGATTTTCTCACAACCTGTAAAACAGCCTAAAACATTTGATTGAACAGAGCAGACTTGAAGCACTGCAATCAATCGGACATGCCAACATCATCATCAAAACATAATGTTGTGTATTTGTGTGTTCGTTTTTTTCTGCAGCAACAGTGACATTAAACACGACTGCCTCACAGCCAGGAGTCGGAGGTAAAGACGATGGGGAGGATGAAACTCCATTATATTACCACTTAGTTATCTCATCAAAATTACAAACAAACAAGCAAAAAAACCTAATGACCTGTTCTATCTTTATATTGTTTGTGATTAATAGCTGTCAGGTTGGTGAATGGATCCAACCTCTGTTCTGGAAGAGTGGAGGTTCTCCACAATGGAATCTGGGGAACAGTGTGTGATGATCTGTGGGATTCAACAGACGCGGCAGTGGTGTGTAGAGAACTGGGCTGTGGGAATGTCATAGAGGCAAAGAGCTTTGCTTATTTTGGACAAGGTTCTGGACAAATATGGTTGGATGATGTTCAGTGCCGTGGGAATGAATCTACACTGAAAAACTGTTCATCAAGTGGATGGGGATCACATAACTGTGGTCACCAAGAAGATGCTGGAGTCATCTGCCAAGGTGAGTCAAACACATTTATACAACCGTTGTATAGCTATGATGTTGTACAGGACATTTTCTCGTTAGCAATACAACAGCATTTCATGATCCAAATAACATGGTCTAATTTAAAGTACCAATATATCATTAGAATATTTCTTTTTTTTTTTTTACGTTTCCAACGGGCACAACAAAGTTTTCCAATTATGTACCATTTATTCCTCAATTACAGGGCCAAGCTCATCAACATCCAGGGTTGCCAGGTTTTCACAACAAAACCCACCAAATCGCTACTCAAAACTAGCCCAAAACTAGCCCAATCGCGTTTTGGTGGGTAAAATACAAATTTTTTGGTGGGCTTCCTGGTAAAATTTGCATTCCAGGGGTTAAATATCACATTACTGGGGTCGCTTCAACCCGCGGCAACAATGTTAAATTAGCCAAATTCTGAGGGAAAACCACAGACCCAGGAACACTGCCAACAGCATGCACGCAGTACTGTTTAGTAGATTTGTTTAGTCATAGCACCCCCAGTGGTGACTTTAGGAAAAGTCGATCAAAGGCTATGAGTACATTTAGCTTCATTTGTAACTTTGTAACTTTTGGCCAGTTGGTGGCGTTAACTAAATGAATTGACCTGATCTCAATGCCAGACTGAATTTTGTTCCAATTTGCAAAGGTACCACCTCACTTCTGGCGTGGCATCATTGTGGTCGACTTTCTTAGCATGTTAACGGCAAATGGTATAGAGAATAAAAATTAATTTCTTGTTTACCGTCCGTTTGAATATCGCTTTCACTGTGGGAAAGATTGTGCAAATGAAGAAATCCATTCTTGAACTGTTATAGACTTCAGTTATCTCTCTT